ATGTTACAAAAGAAACTAGAGTTCCCCGATCTCATACCTTCGCCAAATGATGTTAATCTTTATGACTGACAAAGTTTAGATTAGATTATTCCCCCCTGATTTAAGAAATAGGAACCTAATTTTCATGAATTATATCATTTTATCATAATCTCAACCAAAAGACTTATATTAACAAAGAATGCATTCTAGCATTTCCTAATAAATTATGCAAATGAGGTCCTGATTTGAATAAATTATGTTTAATGATGTTCACCTCAATTTAACTTTCAAATACCACAAGTATGAAATTCCAGGCAGTTATCATTACATAATTGTAAAATTTTCTCATTAATTATGCAAATTAAGTCATTATTAGCATAATCAACATCATCCTGTGTTTCTCTCGTTGTCAATTACCAATGTCACAAGCTTCAATTGTCCTATCATGGAATGCAGCTGATTTATAGAATTTCCCCATAAATTATGCAAATTACATCCATATTTGCATAATAGTCACATAATTATATTAAGCATCACGTAAGCTACTTACATACCAAAAATCACGACGATCCGTCAACCGGTTCTTGAGTTATCCCCTTTTGAATATTTTCAAGAATTTATCCCTGCAGTTCCAGAGCAAGCCACTAGGGGGCCTCAACTCACGTCACTTCTTTCCCAGCACAAGAGCTACCTACCATCTAAATTTCATCACCATAGCATGTCTAGATCATGAGATATCAAAACCGGAAGTTCAGCTGCAGTACCATAACAAGCCGCTAGGGGGTCCAAAATCTAATCATTTTGAGGTCTCATCAAGACCTACCCACCTACCAAGTATCAAGACAATCCATCAAGGCCTTATCAAGTTATCGTGTTTACAGACAGACAGACACACACACACACACACACATACACGAACGCCCCTGAACATAACCTTCTTGGCGAAGGTAATAAGATATTTACATATCTACACATATGAGTGGTTACAATAATACTTGTAGACAAGTGATGATTGTAATCGCAATTGTTCCATGTCCTATTACAGGAGATAGACTGGCAGACCCTGAGGATTGAAGCGGACGCCGTGAAGACAGAGAAGACAAACTACGTCTCCACGCCGGTCCGCCTGATCACCAACCAGTCACGCATCAGGATCGTCATCAAGAAACAGCTGCAGGTGGGTCATACGTGGGTCGTCTGTCCCAGGTGGGTTGTTATGGGTGTGTGTGTGTCTGTGTGGGTTACCTGTAGGCAGTGTGGTGTCCTTCAAGCTGCACCTGATCCTGGACGACCTTCTGTATGTCCTGATGGACAGTTCTGTGGTCTCTCATCACAGTTTGTGCAAATGTCTCTCACCAGCGTTCTGCCCCCCTCCCCACAGGACTGCAGTGTGGTGTCCTCCAAGCTGCATCTGATCCTGGACGACCTTCTGTGGGTTCAGACTAACAGAAATGTGGTCTCTCACCACAGTTTGTACCAAGGTCTCTCACCACAGTTTGTACCAAGGTCTCTCACCACCGTTCTACCCCCCTCCCCCCACAGGACTGCAGCGTGGTGTCCTCCAAGCTGCACCTGATCCTGGATGACCTTCTGTGGGTTCTGACTGACAGTTTGGTCTCTCACCGCAGTTTGTGTTTAGATCTCTCACCACCGTTCTGCCCCCCTCCCCACAGGACTGCAGTGTGGTGTCCTCCAAGCTGCACCTGATCCTGGATGACCTTCTGTGGGTTCTGATGGACAGAAATGGCTTCTACATGTGGTCTCTCAATACAGTTTGTACAATGGTCTCTCACCACCGTTCTGCCCCCCTCCCCCACAGGACTGCAGTGTGGTGTCCTCCAAACTGCACCTGATCCTAGATGACCTTCTGTGGGTTCTAACTGACAGAAATGTGGTCTCTCACCACAGTTTGCGTAAAGATCTCTCACCAGCGTTCTGCCCCCCTCTCCCCCACAGGACTGCAGCGTGGTGTCCTCCAAACTGCACCTGATTCTGGACGACCTTCTGTGGGTTCTGACGGACAGCCAGCTGAAGGCCATGGCATCCTACATGCAGTCTCTCAGCAAAATCATCCGCAAGTCGACCGAACAGAACAAGAGAGATGCCTCGGCCCAGGTAAGAGTCTGTATTCAAGATTTCTTGGGTTTACAAGGTCACTACTGAACATATTTACATCCTAAAAACTTTCAAGTTAACTCTAGGAAAGTTTGCCATGGCCTGAGCGTTAGTCTAACAGTTGACTGCTGCAAATATTTTGCATTTCTACATTTTGTTTTACATTCCTATGCTTTAAAAAAGGTAGGATACTGAGAACATTATTTGTCTATTAAATAATCATATCATTTACGTATCTTGGTAGCCTAATGATGTGGCCGGCCCCAAAAAAACTTACACAGTGTAGAAATTAGATACTTTTTTGAACCTATCACAAAAATTAGGTTGCCCATCAGAATTTAAGGTTGCCCCACCTATAAGTTACTACTTTCCTCAAATTAAGTAATGTAAGTTACATTATAGTATTACTGTAACAGTCTTTGACAATATTTCTAACAGCCTTTACTTAACTGATACTAGTAATAGCCATTGATACCTAAAATTAAAAAGCATCTGCCAGATATATACAGTGGGGCAAGCCAAGTGGGCATGATTTTTTTTTTGGGGGGGGGGCATTCTTAAAATTCAGGTAGCACACTGGGCTACCTAGGTTCAAAAATAGGTTGCCCAAGTAAAATTTGGTTGCCCGGGGCAACTGGGCAACCAGGTATTTTGCACGCAGTACAGTACATTTGTACAGTCAAATCTGCACAAATCACCACCTGTACATTATAAAGCCCAGTGTGACTACTCTTTGGTGATACTAGATAATTTTATGTTTTTCGTATTCACACAAGTGATAAGAGTCCTGTTCCCCCCCCCTGCAGCCTTCACCACCCTCTCCGCAGCACCACGCCACGCAGCGCCCCCACACGGCCACCAGCGGTACTGCGCAGCGGAACCCCCAGCTGGAGGCCGTCAGCAAGTTCTTCAGCAAGTTTGACATGGTGGAGACGTCTTACCACATCTTCACTCGCCGCTTAGACCTGCACCTGTGTGACGATACGAACCCGCTGGAGCAAGGTGTGTATGTTGACTTGTACCAACGCAGATGAACTTTCATGCTACTTGTGATGTTGGATATTAGGGTTTTCTTTTTACACAACCTGCTTACGTTTCAATGTGTAACAGACTCCTTCCTCAGAGCTGAGTACTGCCTCTGACTGGAGTATGGCTTCTCGCTGCTACATGTATAATTATGTACTAGCTGATGTAGATAGACATTAAAACATAAGCAGGTTGCCTTGTATGTCTTAACAGCAAGTCAGAGCTTAATTTTGGTTGCAAATTAAATTTGTAATCATTTGAGTTTTGGGAGAGAAAAATGTTAACTCTGCTTTAAGATTGGTGGATATTATGATGAGAGAGTGTTTTGTCTTGCTGATTTTGTTTCTCTCTTTATTTTGCTCAGCATGTATGGAATAACCATTTTTACTTACCTACAGTTATTTATTTGTCCATTATAATATG